ATATATATATATATATATATATATATATATATATATATATATATATATATATATATATATATATATATATATATATATATATATATATGTATATATATATATGTATATATACAAAAAAGGACGTCCTTTTGAAACCTTAAACTCTACACCTTAAACTGTACGCGTCCAATAGTTAATGAGAGCACAAGTTTGAAGCTTAGTATATGAATATTACAGCCACTTGTAAATGAATTGTTCTAATTGTTATTTTTTTGTAAATTTGTATTAACATATCCTATATAATATCATTTACATTTTTTGCTTAAGATTTGTGTTGATTAGATCCATCTGATTGGTTCCTTTTTGTCAGTTGATCCCTTTTATAGAATACAGGATCATGTAATTTTCCTGACCCTTGCTAATGACTTCCCGAAGAAGGGCCTTTGCGCTTAACTTCGAATTTCGCTGTGTATATTTCAGGTAGTTGCGTCCCTACCAACGAAAGGTTGTTTGTGATGTTTATTATGACTACACAAACATTGATCAGCTGGCAGAAAAGTGCACTCTTGGGGTAAGTGGACCCATGATAATAAACGCTTGCATACGAAATTTAATTATTGAAACAATCGTGACCTAACGCAGTTTGAAGAGATACGTCCGTTTGAATCTACGAAGGAAATATGAAGGAACTTCAAATAAAATTTTCTGCGCAATTTTTTGGTGCGATAATTTTGTTGATAACACGTGTCAAGTCCAAGAAAAGGTGCAAGCCTGATGAAGAAGCTGTCACTTCACAACCTTTTGATTTGTCTGCTCGTTGTAAGTGTGCATGGTCATTTTCGTTGTAAAATTTCTTGCCGGCAAGTGGCCTCTCATCAAAGTCTTTCAGTTCAAAATGAAGTCGCAAGTAATGACCGGTTAAGGCCGTTCGGCTGCCACAATATTGCATCATTTTATATTATACAAATTGCCAGCCTACATAATAAACATTTTTTTAAATGTAGCTTATATAGGATAGTTCCCCTCGATTGTGTTTACCTGTTCTGTCAATTTGGCCTGCTTTGGGAATGTAACTACTTTAACCTTCTAGCCGCCATCAAGTAAAGAGATTCTTGGCGATATACATCGGTTTTCAAAATTGCGCGACCTACTCAAAAATAATCTTTGTTAAAAAATATCTTTAAAATAGTTCTACTCCTTTTATATGAAGTATATATACAAAGCATGTGGTCGATAACAAAGCATAGAAAGCTTATTAAAGATGAATATTGTGACATAATGTCGTCTGCAGGCATAATTTTGGAAACATGTGTAGGCTAATACGACATTTTTCTTACTTTGAAGATATTATGTTAATTTAGTCACCGATTCAGGAAAGTTAAAAGCTTAGAGAGCCGCATGCTAAAATTTGGAATACATTTATAGGGAACGCTGATAGCCCTGATTGAAACCTTTGCCATTAGTATAATCGAAACTTTTCGCCAAATTATTTTATAACCCGACCTACCGCTTACAATCGCTGCATATCAAAACAATATTGGACATATTCTGGGAATGCAGTCAACATTTAAGCAGAAGTTTTCAAAAATTTGGGATAACATTAAGAACATTTGTCAAATAATTGGAAGTGTAGTAGATGTTTTGGTCGGATTGTAGTCGATCAGTCCGTTACTGCATGGACATCGAGCCGCGCGATCCCTTAGCTCAATCTTGCGTTAACGTGAAATTCAAACTTATTCCCCAGTATAGCTTGTTTATAAATATATTCAGGATACTGGTGTGGATCATCAGAAGTTTAATTTCCGCTATTATTTTAAATTAAGCAGATATGCAGAAATATATAATCATAAACCAAAGCAATGAGTTAAATTAACCCAAGTTCTGCGCTAATCGTGCTTTGAACAGCCGATTTTAATACATTGAAAGAGCTTTCCTTGGTAGGAATGCAAGTACCTGAAAATATATAAGGATAAATTTTCCCTACATAATTTCAGGTTGTTGCATCCCTACTATATGCAGTTCAGGATTTTAATATAAACCAACAACAAAAATTCTGGGCTATAGTTAAAAAGTATTAAAAATTGTTAAACTATCATGCATTTATCATATATAATCATTATACTATATATAATCTTATCAGTATTAAAAAACTGTTGCCTTCGAAAGCTGTTGTAGCATAGAATGCACAAAATGCGAATATATATATATATATATATATATATATATATATATATATATATATATATATATATATATATCGGTTATTATAGCTGCTTGTGACTATTTCCCCCAATTTTAGTCGAATTTTTGCATGATTAATAAATGTTGTCTTTCCTGTAGGAAATAACTAGAAATTTATCAAGTGCAGGTGTTTCGATCTGTAATAAAATTATTCTATGTCAAAGGCACAGTTCAGGCTTTTGAATTATGGTTTTTAAGGCACATTTCCGCCCTTCATGAAAATCAATTATACATAAATCAAGTTCAGTAAACTCAATGTTTTTAACAATAAAAATGTTTTAGAATGTTAAAATCATTACGCTTACTGATCTTGAATTATGCTTAATTGATTTTCCTAGTTAGTTTTTTCAATTAAAGGGGCTGGAATGCGCCTTAAAAACCATTATTCAAAAGGCTGAATTGTGCCTTTAAGCATTCAGCTTAAATTCAATTTGTTTTCTTTCCCTCGCATGATATAAAGGAAAGGGTGTATACCATATTTAGCGCTTGTTTCTTAGTATGATTAGTTTCCTTTTGTGAGTAAATTGAAAAAGGAACAGGTGGTTCCAATAATTTCATATTATCGGCGTAAAAGTTACTGCCGTGAAGGCATATATAGGATTCATAATAAACATATTGGGAAATATTAGTGAAATACAGCATGATGGCAGTTTCGTACGAAAGACATTTTTGCGTTGGTTCCGTGACTATTTCCGCCTGACTGTTGATCTTTCGTGTATGTAATATTTGGATTGTGTATTTTGTCTTGCACGCATTAGTTAAAGAGCTATGTTAATTTTCAGTAATATATCCACCGCCTTAAGACACTTGTTACTATCCTCATTTTGAGTGTAGGAAAATTGTAAATTGATTTAATAAAATAATTTCAACAGATGTCGATAATTGAATTGGGAATATATCACGAGATATATCCGTTTGAGCGCGAAACCTTTATAGATTCCTATGTAAAATGAGGTAAAGTGTTCATTCGCAAAAGAAGAGGGAATATAAAAAATAATGACAAAATTCTTTTTGAATGTGCTACAATACAACGGCGGCCTGTGGAACCAATTTCAACAAATATACAAAGATTTATATATAGCATGATATATTACAAATACTCCGCTCGCCTGATAATAAACATAGGGCATTGTACAGCAATTGTTGCGTGGATGCGCGTGGTGACGCGAAACCTGAGAAATGATAATTTCTGGCCATGCTCTTTTACTCAAAAAACACCACACCTTGAATACGTGCCTATCGTGCCTATCATTGATAAGTCAATAAAATTGTAATTATTATCAAATTAATGGGTCTGAACATTTCCAATAATGTTAGATGGAACCGTCGCATAAAGGAAAATGTTAAGAAAGCTTTCACTCGGTTGTATTTCGTGAGGCATTAATTAAAACTTGCCATAATTGCCGAAAAGGAACTTTTAACTTTTTACATGATTTATATTCTCCCTGTTGCCGAATGCGCTTGTCCAGTTTTCCGCAGTGGATCATCCAAATACTTGTCAGATGAATTAGAATGTATCCAAAAACGCGCTATGTAATTCATATTCCCATTGACTTAAATTAGTGTTAGTACTGTTATGTATACTAAGCCCGCGTAGTATTGTATTGTTGGGTGTGCTGCTCCTTGGCATTTTTCCTTTATCGCTATCTCAATTATCACTCTCTTATATGCTAAGTCCGTCTTTATTGTGTGTTAACAAAGCATCGTCAATTAAAATAATTTTCATTAGTATAATAGAATGTCATTTGAATGAGGATATTGTATGGCGTCTTGAAATAAACCTTGCAGTCGGGGGAATTCTTATATAGAACTCTTAAGTTTCAATCGCGAGCGGCGATTGGGTTATTTAATAACAAGAGAGTAAAAATTATGTTATTATTGTGGCAACCTTGTTTAACCAGAGTCTTATTATACATGCTAATATTAGCCGGTTTTGCAAATATTCCTGCTTATTGCCGGGAATATTAAACGAAATCCCGGTCCTAAAGTAGGTTCACTTCTTGTAGGGCATATCAATGCTAGAAGCATTGCAATTGAAGATAAGTTTGAAGAATTTCTTCATTTATCTTAGATAAAGAATTCGATATATTTGCTGTTTCAGAAACTTGGCTCAACAGTAAAATTCCAAATGACCACCTACCTATGGGAATATCTGGTTATTATCCTATCTTTAGAAAAGATAGACTAAATATGCGTGGTGGCGGGGTAACGGTATACGCATTACAATCACTCGCCGTCAAAAGACGTTATGATTTGGAAAGTAATATGCTTGAGCTACTTTAGATTGAAATTAAGATGCATAAATTAACCGTATTATGCGGAGTCACTTATAGACCACCGAACAATTCTTTTGAAGAAACAGAAACATTCCTAAATTCTTTGCAGACTATAATGGACAAAATTCGTCGTCAAATTCCCCAATCAATTATTCTATTAGTTGGTGATTTCAATGCTCATTTTGAAAATGAAAACTCGGTCGAAAATAGCTTGTTTGGTACTATATTATACAGGTGGTTCTCTTGCAATGCACTAACACAGTTTTGAAAATATAGTTAAGAAACACATCCCGAGTAGAATGGTAGTAATACGCCCGAATGATAAACCCTGGTTCACTTCAGAAATCCGTAAAGCAATACGCAAAAGAAATGGACTTCTAAAAAAACATTGGGTTAAAAAACCACTCTCACATGGCAAAATATAAAGTTCAAAGAAATAGTACAACATCACTAATTCGCGATGCTAAAATATCTTATTATCAAAATTAAATATTCAACTTTCAGATCCAATGTTAAGTTCAAAAAATTCCGATCTGGTCTAGTTCCGAAAACATTATCTACAAATATCTCCTCGTCCATTCCACCAATTCAAAAAGGGACTGAGTACATAGTGGACTCAAAACAAAAAGCAGATCTTCTTAAGAATTTTTTTGCTAGTCAAGCCTACGTTGATGATACATGTAAATCAATACCGGTATCTGATTATCAACAAAATCAATCTTACCTAACATTAATAGAGACTACAAAGGAGGAAGTGCAAATATTAATTAGAAGTGTTAATATTTCTAAAGCATGTGGGCATGATGGTATTGGAAACAGAATTCTTAAGATATTTGGATTTGCCGAATCCTTACAAAATTAATTAATTTTAGCTTTCTGAAAGGGGAATATCCATCAGAATGGAAAAAGGCTAAGGGAACAGTCATTGTTAATGCCGGGTAGGGGGCCGGAGGAAATTTTTATAAATAGCTAAAATTTTTCATGACCCCTTATTTTTCTACCAAAATTTTTTTATGCCAAATTTTTTTTATGC